GCCTGCCTGGATTCCCTGCGGAGCAGAGGGTAGGCGCTCCCAGGACCAGAGGAAAGACAGGACTGGTCACTCCCCGTTCAGCCCATCTTCTGCTTCTAGCAGGCCAGCATCTCAGGGGGACAGCTAGAGGAATCCGTGTGGAGTCCCCGGTGTTTGGGTCTCAGATGTTTAGCAGAGGGTGGGGCCCAGAGGGAGGAAAGAGCTGGAGTAAAATCTCCCAGGTCGTTTACACTAACCCTCCTATTCAATACTTCTATGTTCATCATCTCACCTGGCTGTTCACAACCACCTGGCGTTGTAAGCAACTATTACCCCGTTTTCAAGTGAGGAAACTGAGGTGTCTTAGCTTTTTTCCTTCCTACTACCCCTCCCATTTTCCTTTGTCTTAAAATCTGCCCTGGGGGGCCCTCCCTGGTGGCCCAAGGGGTTAAGTCTCAGCACTATGAAACTATCAGCAGCCACTGGAGCACGAACTCAATCCCAGATCTGAAGCTGATCCACCCGGAGCAGCAGACCTCTAATGTCTCCCCACTGCTCCCCTCAGCAGTGTATTTCAGTAGATTTGTCTGTTCTGCTCCCCACTCTGACTCTGGTGAATCCTCCCACCCACCCACCCCCACATCTCTGGCCTGTGTCCCAGTTTTTGTATGCATAAATAAATAAATCAGAAATGGGGTACAAGCCAGAGGTGCAGGGGCAGTGAGAGGCAAAGTGGGAAGAGAACAGGCTGACTGACAGAGTACACTGCTGAGGGGAGCAGGAGGCAGGCCAGGAGAGGTCTGCCGCGCCATATGGGTCAGCTCCCTGGCCGGGGATCGAACTCTTTCCGAAGTGGCTGTGGCTCCCTTGCAGTGCTGTGCTTTAACCCGTTGGGCCACCAGGGAGGGCTGTAAATAAATAAAGCTTAATATAAAATCAAATCTTCCCAGACCACATACATAACCCCAGAAAGGTTGCTGCTCAGCTCCCAACATTCCATACATCAAATCTGAAAATATTTGCTTGTTAATTCATCTAACAGAGGAGAAAGATGATGGAGTTTAGCCATTATGAGGGTGTACCTTGGAATCAGATCTGATAACTATCCTGTGGGCATAACTTACAAATTCCATGATCATGGTCTTCATCATGCCTCAGTTTCATCATCTGGAAGCAAGAATCGTGATTTCTCACTCAAGGAATTCTTTTGAAGGTTAAATGAGATGTGCAAAGTACATAATACTTTGCATCTAGGAAAGGCTTCCAATATGCGTCTTGTGCATATAATTATCATAATCACAGCATGGTGGTGATATTTGCATCTTAGTGCATTGCCTTCTCGCTATTTACCAATGAAGTTTGTGGGGTTAAGTGAGAATGTTATTTTGCCTAGTAGATTTGCACAATTGATATCCCCCTAGAATCCCAGAACAAGTACTTATTCAGAAATAAGGTCTTCCAAACACAACAAGTTAAGATAAATTCATACTAGATTAGGGCAAATTCTAAATTCTAAATTCACTTATAAGTTGTCCTTATAAGTGAGGACAGAACCCTCCCTGGTGGCGCAACAGGCTAAAGCACAGCACGGTGAAGCTACCGCAGCCACTGCAGCACAAGTTCGATCCCCGGCCAGGGAGCTGACCCACATGGCGCGGCAGACCTCTCCTGACCTGCCTCCTGCTCCCCTCAGCAGTGTATTTGTCAATCTGCCTGTTCTGCTCCCCATTCTGTCTCTGGTGAATCTTCACACCTCCCACACCTCTGGCCTGCACCCCAGTTCTGTATGTATAAATAAGTTAAAAAAAAAAAAAAGAAAGAAAGAAAAGTGAGGACATGTCAAGACACCACAGGAGGACTTGTAAAACAGCAGCGGTGGTGTGATGCCGCCTGGAGCACCAGGGCAGGCTTCCCTACAGCCTCTAAAAGGAGCCGGCCTTGTCACACTTTGGCTCCAGACGCCCACCCTCCACCGGGGAAAATACATTTCTGTAACTTTAAGCCCATGTGGTCATTTTGTTACAATGGCCCTCCCTACAAAACTAGCACAACTTGTGAGCCAGGGAGAACTCAGCATTTTTACTCTTTATCCCTGGCTTTCTCAATCAGCAGGTCAACATTTATGGATCCTTTAGGAAGTCTTCCTACTTATAAAAAAAAAAATGACACAATTCCTGTTTGGCATTTCTTACACAGCTGTTGCCTGGCAAGTTGATAAAATAACATAAAAGTGGCATGTTGTATTACACAAGTCTCACAAAAAGAGATTAAGAGCTTACTTTCTACCTCTGTGGGTACCTTTACACCAGACTCTACATTTATTTATTGGAGAACGACTTTTTTTTAAAGATTTATTTATTTATGCATACAGAACTGGGGTATAGGACAGAGGTGCAGAGGTGATGAGAGGATTCAAGAGAGACAGAGTGGGGAGCAGAACAGGCAGATCCATGGAGTATACTGCTGAGGGGAGCAGCGGGCGGGTCAGGAGAGGTCTGCCTCGCCATGTGGGTCACCTCTAGGGCTAAGGGGAATCGAACTCATGCTTTAGCTTTAACCCGCTGCGCCACCACGGAGGGCCCTGGAGAACGACATTTTATATATTAAAGAATCACAAAACTGCAGAACTTTGGCTACACTCTGGTCTCCAGAGTTCAGAAGCCCAGCCTGTTCACTTCCTCCAGGGGTGATGAATTAAAAGGAAAGCAATCTGAATACCCTCAGGACTCTGAATCCTACAAAGCAGGATGATCTCATTCTTGCTGGGTCCTCCCACGCTCTGGAATGGGCTGGAGGAAACCCATGGAGTCAGGGGGCTGCCAGTTGCTGTAAAGGAAGTGGGCAACAGAGGGCTGCTCATACCTGGTGGGGGTGGGGGGGGAGTAGAATGAATGGTGGTGGGTGACTAGCTACAAAGGGAAGCAGAGGGGGAGGGAGGAGCTGATTCACTAGGACAACTCGGAGTGACTCAGAAGTCTGCAGAAAATAGCCTGCTCTCCCACATCGGCCTCATTGTCAGGCGATGAGATGCTTCCTTATTGGACACCCACAGGCTGGGCAAAAGGGAGGAGGAGGAAGTGGGATTTTTCAAATCCATGGGCCTATTCAAGCACCTAAAACTCTTGTGCTTTTAACCATTTTAGATCTTCTTTCAGCCTGTAGTTATTGAGCACCTACTGTGTGCCTGACCCGTCATCTTGCCTTGCAGATGGTTAGTCTGCTGAACGCAGGGCAAGTCTTTCTGAGATGCGGAATTTTCTACTTGGCATTTCAAAAGCACTCAGAGCACCTGCTACAATTGTGTCCTTCATTGATGGAGGACCCTCTACAATGGGGAGGGAGTGTGGAGCTTGTTTCTGGCTGGATTGCTGGTTTCACAGGTGTCGCGGCCCTGGTTCACTCTCAGGACCAGTCCTTGTGAGAATCAGGTGTGTGGTGGGGAGAACATGGGACAGGATGGGAGTCTCACAACTTTGCTGGAAGTTCTTTCTTTACCATTTGCTAACTCTAGACCTGATTTCTCTGAATTTCTAACTTCTCACCTATAAAGTGGGCGCAATGATGTCTAACAGGTTAGGGTAGACTTATCCTGCAATGGTGAAGATAAGATAAATAAGATGTTGATGACTATATGAAAGTCAAAGAGAGTGGGCCCCAGAAAAAGGGGTGATTCCAGCTTCCCTGCCCCACCCAAGGAAAGGTGGAGCTGAGCAGGAAAGAGAAGCTGGAGAGGAGACTAAAGAAGGGAGGAAGCAGGATGGAGAGCCAGGAGTACCTAGCACAGTGATAAGATAGATGCTGCATTTCTTCCTTCAAATCTCCCTATAATTGTACATTGGCCACATCCCACCACCGTGAAAACTAGAACCCTAATATTGTCTTAGATAGTAATCACTGTTAAATTTAGGGTAATGGATTTAAAGTTTGTAATACATTGCTTATGCACTAGAGTTGTCTTATAAGTATTTTATTTTAAATGTGGTTATTATTTTAACCAATTGCATCAATCTGTGAGCTAGCATACAGTCTATGAAACCCAGTCTGGAAGCCTTGACTTCGGGAGGAATGCACTAGAATGTATCCTGTCCCTTCCTTGGGTTATTTGGTTCTGAAACGGCTTGCCTACAGCGGCAAGGTCTGCATTCCTGTGTTAGGGAACAGGGACAGACATTTCTTGCACCTTCTGTACTGTCTTTGTTCCAGCTTCACTGCAAACGCTATTGTCCCACCCACGGTGTGGCCAAGGACACACACACACACACACACACACGTCCCCTCATCTCAGTAAGCGTAAGTGGAAAAACCTCGACACACAAACTTGAAATTATTCAAATTTTGTCAGGAAGGCAGGTCGGTCTGGGAACTGCTCTCCTGGGTGCCACCCGGTGTCCCCAGGGGCTCCAGAGCCAGTGTTGGCTTCCAAGTAAAAGATGAAAAGAGAAGGGTGATCTGCGGGGTTCATCTCCGCGCCCATGTTTCTTTCGAGCACCACACCCACACACGAGCCTCCAAGGGAAAGAACAGGGAAGCCACGTTACCTGGCTTTCAACTACTGATTCTAAACGAGACACCGATTTGTTTATTCATTGACTAACACCGCGGATGGAAGGAAAGGTCACAGCCCAATCAATCAGGGCACACCAGTCCTGAAGCCCGCCATGCCTAAGCTCCCCGTACCACGAGGGTAAAGCTCGCCGCAAACCTCACGATCCTGCCCAGAAACCGCACAGGAGGAGCAAAGTAGCCGGAGCCGGGCGGGAGGGGCGCGAGCCCTTCCCCGAGGCCGGAGGAGGGAGCTTCCTAGCGGAAGTGACGCGAGCTCAATCCCAGCCTGGCTCTCTCCAAACAAAAGGGATCTTGGGGCCCCGGGAGGAGCCTAAATGACATTGGAGAAGCCCCACCCCCAGATGGCGCGGATTGGTGCAGGGGCTGCAGAGGCGCGACGGCGATTGGTCCTCGAGAATGCCAATGCCCCCGCCTGGCAGCGGGGGCGGGGCCTCGCGGGGCTGTGGATGCGAGCGGGTGGCGGAGGCGGCGGGGAGCTGAGTCCTGAGCGCCGGGGAAAGGTAGGAGCCGCCGGGGCTGGGGATCGGCAGTGGCCGGGGGGCCGGGCTCTCGAGAGAAAAGCAAGGGTCGGGCCACCTGTTCACCCACCACTGTGCCCAGCCGCCACTGGTGCCCATCCCTGAGGGGGCGGGGCCGTCTCCTCCACCTCTCGGGGTTCCCTGAGGAGGCGGCTCCTCATCCTTCCAGGGTTCTTGCTGCCACTCATTGTCCCCCGTCATTTTCAGCTCGGTCCAGGGGCCTTCCCCCCTGACACCCTTCATTTAAAGTCCCCCGTGGCTCAGCACCGCAGCCTTGGGGGAGGACTCACAGGTCCCCATTCCATGGGCTGTCGCCCCCACCCCCATTTTGTACCCCGGGAGGCCAGACATCCCTCCCTACACCTGTCCCTGGTCGCTCGGGTGGAACCAGACCTAGTTTTCTCGGTAAGATAAAATCGGTGTTTTCCAACAAGGAGGGATGGGGCGAAGCGAAAAGCAAAGACCCGACCTAGACGGCCAGGTCCACGCACCCACGGGGCGGCCTTCCCCTACTTCAGCTCTCCCCATCCCCCACCTCTCAGCCTCAGCCTGTCCCCTGCAGCCCCTCAGATCTGTTCGGTTGGGGGCCTGGAACTGCCCTTTTTCGGAGGACGGTTTAAGCTGGAGGAAGGAGAAATAGCCTCACTCCCCCTCCTCTGACCCACTGTTCCTTCACTCTCTTCTTTGGGGGAGAACTCAACTTCTGAGGGCTTTTTAGACTTGAGTTGCTTTTCATTTTTGCTTTGTTTCTCCCCTGAAACTTGATGAAAAACTATCCTTTTTTCTATTTTACAGTGAGGTGGGTGTGTTGGATCTCTGCAGAGTTGACCTGTGTGGGTTGGAATGCCTGTATATTGTTTGACTGTCCATGAATAACAGCATTTTTCAAATGAAGTGGTATAGATAAGTAAATAAAGAGCCTTAGATTAGCAATGAGTGCCTCCCAGTCTAGGATGGGCTGGTCTGTTGCTCAGAGAAACTGCAGTTAACCTTGAAGGTACAGGTCTGTTGAAACAAAAGACAGGAAAGGAAATGTTTGAAGAAAATCCAGGATCTGTTGTTGCCTAGGTTTATGATTAATCTGGTCCTGAGGGCTGTGGTTGCTCACTCCACCTTGATTTATCCCTCCAGGAGAAGCTGATGCTTAGGTGATGTTGATTGGTCTTAAAAGATCAGCCTCAGCTATCAAAATTTAGGGGATGAGAAGTAAGAACAAGCTTTAAACCTCAGACATAAGGGTGAATAAAAGCAAGGTTAACTGCAGCTGTTCACACGTGTGAGTACCACAAGTGTCTAGTGTGTTCATAAGACTTTGTCCAGTTGGCCTTCATTTCAGCAAGGACAAAATATTAATGACTTTGCCCTAGTATTAATGCTGTTGGATTCCAGTAATCATCGGTCGTTAGCACCTCCATATATAAAATTTGCCAAATATTTTAGCATTGCTCCTTTGGCTTTCAATCTGAAGTCCAACTTCCTGCTGTTATCTGTAGCCAAAGCTAAGAGCAATGAGAGAGATGCAAGGGGTTAGAATCACAGAGGGCACTTGCAATAGCTGTTGTCTTTTACCTTCCTGATCAGACTTCCTGTAGGAGCTTGTTTTTGAATAGTTAAACTAAACTCAAAGGTTTTCAGAGTCACTCTTGGTGCTTTCAGATCTGTTCAGTGATTGTTTCCAGATCTCCTATAAAAAGCACAAAGAAGAAACTGTGTGGAGGGTCTCAGCAGCAAACACAAGTATGTTGCCATTGGAGGGTAAAACAGGGGCCCCAGCAATAGCAGCAGAAAAAAACTACAAGCAGAACAGGAAATCCCAAGAAGATATATCTTATTACATGAGCAGAGAACAGAAAACAAACCAAGGTAGGAGACTACGAAAACCAAAGTACCAGGACCTTAATGAACAGAGAGGAAAAGCCAAATCATGCCCTCAGAGTAAGCGGCACACAGACACACAGAATAAGCAAGACACACATTGTGTCTTGGAATCTTTCCTCTAACTTTTTCAACACCTGTTGCGTTATATTAGATGAAGAAAACGTCTGCAGAGCATGTTTTATGTACCTGTGCTTATCTAGCTCATTAAATTATATAATTAATTCAAATTAAAGTCTTTGGGAGCAGGTGGTAGTACTTTTTTTTTCAGAATTTTATCTGTCACATTGCCCACAGTATAGTGTGACTTAATGAGTGTACATTAAATTTAGTTTGAAGCTGCCGTGTTAGGATAGGGTAGAGAGATAATGTACGGATAAGACAGAGTATATCTTGTCAGTATAAACAGTCTTCTTTTTTTTTTAAGATTTATTTATTTGTTCATACAGAACTGGGGTACAGGCCAGAGGCTCAGGGGCAGCGAGAGGCTTCACCAGAGACAGAGTGGGGAGCAGAACAGGCAGATGGACTAAGTACACTACTGAGGGGAGCAGTGGGCAGGCGTGTCAGGAGAGGTCTGCCTCGCCATGTGGTCACCTCCGGGGCAACGGGAATCGAACTCATGGGAAGCGGCTTTAGATTCTCAGTGCTGTGCTTTAATCCGCTGTGCCACCAGGGAGGGCCTAAACAGTCTTCTTTTTATTTTGATTTTACCTTACTTTTCCTATGTGATAGCTAGAACTACACAGTACCTTAAGTGACACAAATATTTAATTCACTGAAAGAAACATATCTGCTGATTAGACATATAATTTTGCTGTAATGAAATTTAAACCAGACTCATGAATGTTATCAGTGCTAGTCACTTTAGGATTTTATTTTCCTAAGAATCTGACCTGATAAGAATGAAATGAATTTAGAAGCACACACTAGAAACTCCTGGATTGTTTGATAATTCCTGTTTAAGAGTGGTTTCTTAAGTGTCTGGTTTTAACAAGTTACTGTTCTACTTTGGGATTTTCTTATATGAACTTTCAGTTGAGTTTGTGTTTTTCTATATTGACAGTAAATTCATAAATGGGGGCACAAACAGGTTTGGCTCCTGAATGGAATCGTACAGACGGACTGTGGTGGCATCATGTGCTCATCTAGGGTGGATTTGTGTCTTGGCAGAATTAGGTTTGCAGTGCTACGCGTTAATTTGCAGAACAGGATTGGAATTTTTGGCTTTTTTGAGTAGCGCAGGAGCTGTTTCTAGGATTGCCAATGAAGGGGCACTTGGGGGTGTGAGTTGAGAAGCAGAGATTTATTTAGAGGAAATCTGCCCGTCCATGGTGATTGACTTTAGACCGGCTTGTCAGCCTATTTCAAAAGCCCATTTTTATTTATTTCCCGAATGTTTGCTGCTTGTAACTAAAAGTCAAGTCTTCCAAGTTTCAGTCCAAGTCTTTCAGTGAGAAAACAGCTTATTTGTCGTGTGGTAATTTACAGCACAGACTTTACAGGCAAACCACGGTTTGAGCAGTATTTTGTCTTCTTCATGTGACTCTAGTTCCCTCAGTCATGACATAGGAATAACTTCTAGAGTTTTTGTGTCTCAGGATTATATGAACTAACCTATATCTAACTCACAAAGCAAGGTACCTAGCTTGTAAGAAGTACATTTAACCTGCTAGCGCTTGGTCTGCTGCCGGGAATATAAGGACGCTGAATAGGAATTACAAGTGGCCGTTTCAAGTTATTTACTGATTTTGTTTTACATTTTTCAATAGAGCTAAGATTCCAAAGTTGAGAGGAGCAAAGCTTGTGTATGTCCTGACCTGACACAGTGATTTCTTAAGAGACGGTATATTCGATGTTAGAGTGTTTTGTAATTTCATGCAAATCATCTTTCTTGAATTTTTTGGCTCTGGAAAAAAAAAAAAAGGCAAGGAACTCAACCATCGAATGCCTTCTTGAATTATCAGTTGCTCCACTCCAGACTCCACTATCTGAAGTGCCTCCATCCTGAGTGTCACACAAATAGTTTTGAGGCATTGGGGCTATTAAAAGTGATTTTTGTCTTTAAAGACTCCCGTTACTCCCAAAATAGGGAGCAGTCACAGGAGCAACTAAATGGGTAAGATGAAGCCCTGCACGGGGAGTTCAGCGTGGAGCTAGGGGTGTCAGATGCAGGGGTTTGTGGGTTGAGGAAAACCAGACTAGCAGCTGGCATTGACGTAAGGGTACCGTAAAGTGTTCGTCCCTGCCGCCTACTTCCAACACTGTATTTCAGGTACAAAGCCAAAGCTTCCAGTCTAAATGCATCTTTTGCTTCTAAACGAATCCTTTCTGACGTGTGGAGCCACAGAGACTATAATCCTTAATTGTTAACTGAGTTTAAAGAGTATGATCCTTAATTGTTACTGAGTTCAGTAGAAACTAGGAAGGAAAGTAGAGCACACAGGGTGAAGCTTACAGACAAGACTCCTTCCCTGAGCCTTGGGGGCCTCTCACAGATCCTGTATGCAAATCTGTGGGGAAGGCTGGACTCAGGTGTGCTCCTGGTCAGCTCAAAGGAGCGCCCTGAAGGAAGAAGCACTGAACAAACAAGAAGGATTTACTGTTTTAACTAAACATGAATCAGAAGTTACCAGAGAGAGGAGAATGAAGGGCGACTGACAGGTGAGTTGTAGGAAAAGAGAGTGGCACTAGCTTGGGTTTTTCATGGGGAGAGTGGCGCCCCATTGCTTAATTTCTACTAACTAGTAGTTTTTGTCACAGCCAATTTTACAGGAGTAACAGCAGAGCCAATCTGGTTTTTAACTGGTTAAGACTTGAGGCCACCAAAATGACCTGATCTCATCCTATGTGTCAGCCTCTTCCTGTTGCCTCTTGTTCTTACATTGGAGGTACAGAAGTGTCCTGAAAAAGCTGTATCCTAAAGACTCCTAAAGCTTGCGCCATCACTGTGCCGGCTGACTCTTGACCTGTTCCTTTCGGGGATTTCATTACCTCTCATTCAGCATGTCTCACGTCACAGTCATCATTTCCCCCTGAAAGCCAGTTCCTTTTCTAACATCCCCGTTTCTGTTAATGGCACCACCATTCTGATCATTCAGACTGGT